ATATATATATATATTCAATCGTAAATTAAAATGTGAGTATTTCAAAATTTGATTTCTAAAAATTGTAGTCCAAATGTGCATTAAGATTCGTGTGAATCAATATGAAATTTTAGTAACATCAAATATAATTAGGGGTGTAAACGAGCTCAGCTCGTGTTCGGCTCGTTTATATTTCGAGCTCAAAAAGTGTGTTCGTGTTCGGCTCGTTTGCTTAAAGAGCTGTTCAGGAAGAAAAAGTCCTTTTAACAACCCTAATTATATAGTTATAAGACAATAAATGTTTCAGCAAGATTTAAAAATTATTATTTATATTAAAACATCATTTGAATCTAATTTAATGATTTTTATTATATTTTCTTTATCAATATTTTAATTGATTATAAATCTTTGTAGCCTTGTAGTCAATTAGATTTTTTTAAAATACTACTTAATATATATATAAACTTGATGAGTAGTATTTCGAGCCAAAATGAGCCGAACACGAACGAACACATCTTAGTTCGTGTTCGGCTCGTTAACTTATCGAACAAAATTAACGAGCCGAACACGAGCTTCTTAACGAGTCGAACACGAGCTGTTCGTGAACAACGAACCGTTTTGACAGCCCTAAATATAATAGAGACTGAGATTACCCAAAATGGTAAAAATGTTAAATACTAGCGCGTTACTCATATAATTAAATAATATAAAAGTTAGAAAGTCGCATAGATGTTAGTGCACGTGAAATTTTGCAATAATTAGTCTATTATTATTTTCTTGCAGAAATGATTTTCATGGGATACATTTACTGCACTGCACGGATAAAATTTTTCTGTGCGAATTCTTGACCTGATTTTACATGTGGTCAAAATTATTTTTGAGTTATTTTCAGATTATTTCTAGATTATTTTCAATAATACTGAAATAACCTAGAAATAACACAAAAATAAAGACTCGAGATTATTTCTGGGTTATTTCAGGATTATTGAAAATAACTCAAAAATAACCTGAAAATAACTAAGGAATAACCTACGCCGTATATAGAGCTACCTCAAAAGTTCGGACAGAAAATGCGCTCCTACACCAAATTGTCTTTTTCTTTATTTTATTTTTTAAACCCAAAAGATCAATGAGCTTAGGTGTGTCATAATAAAATTATTAAAAATTCGATAAAAAAGAAAATATATATCAAGATTAATGATGAATTTTAATATTTATATGATAATTTAAAATTTTAATGAATGAGGATGTTTAATTTGTAAATAAAAATATTTTAGATTTTCTATGTACTTTTTTTAAAGTTAAACAATAATAGCAATTAAGTTGAAAATTTTTGAATTTTCTAATTGAAGAAAAGAATCTTTATCAAGTCATCCCCAAGATAAAATATATTTGTATTAAGAATTATTATATTAAAAAATTCACATAAAGTATCATATATAAAAATAGTTGGTTTATTTTTTAGTAAATATTTAAAAAAATTTTATGTATTGGTAAAAAATATATTAAAAAGGCAAAATTACCGAATTACTTAAATAACTTAAAAGAAAACATTATTAAATTTTACTAGTTATAGAGATAGATTTTAAATTTCAATGTGGGCCCCACCCCGAACATAATTTGGCTCTTTCCTTAATTAGTTCAATGGTACAAGTTTGCTCAGGATTCAAAAGGTATTTCTAATGAATATATATATTTTTGAAATTTTACCTTTACTTACTTTGATATATGCCATGTAATTTTTTTTTTAATATCTTATTAAGCCCTCACTAGGGGTGTAAACGAACCGAACACGAATGAACAGAACTTGTGTTTGTGTTTGGTTCGTTTGAAATTTTTGAAATTTAATTTGTTTGAAATAAGCTCATATTTGAAATTGTTCGTGTTCTTTTCTTAACGAACGAGTCAAACACGAGTTGTTCGCGAACGACGAGCCAATTTGACATCCCTAATATTAATAAATATAAAAAATATATTATATTAATTATATAAGTTATATTATATAAAAATATAATATCTATATTAGTATATTACTAATATAGTATATTAATATATTATTATTACTAATTTATTATCTATTATAATTTATAAAATTTAATTTTTCAAAATATCATATATTTTTTATATATAATTATTTTAAACTATTTTATATTTCGAACATTAACGATTCGAACACGAACGAACGCAGCACTGTTCTTGTTTGGATCATTTAACTATCCGAAAAAAAAAATTATTCATGTTCGTCTCGTTTGCTTATCGAACGAATTGAACACGAACTCTTCGACACAAACAAAAAATGTTCGCGAACAATGAGCTTTTTTTTGACAGCCCTAACCCTCACAATGTAATTATAAATTAGGAATTCTTACATACAGATGTCCCCAAACACTTAAATTTACACATTAAGGTTCCGAAACTCAATTTTTACATATGGAAGTCTCTGTCAAGCCTCCGGGAGGCTTTTTCTTTACGGGGAAGTGATTATGGGTGGTGACGTCGAGCTTCAGCTATATTCGATGATGGCTTGAGAGAGGAAACGGACGAAATCCTCAGCGGTGGCCGTTTATCTTGTCCGGTCCTCAAGATTCTTCCCCCGTGGAACAGTTGCCCGCGATAGTGTAAATAATGGGGATTTGATTCCTCGGGTGGGCCAAATAAAATGAGGAGAGCGTGATGAGCATTTTTACCAATTCACATAATCTTGAATTTGAATGTTCATATTCTTTCAAAGGATTTTTTTAATGTACATGACATCAGACTTATATCCGGTGTTTAATTAAAATCACTAAAATAAAAGAGTAGGGCTCACTTACAATAATTGGATACAAGACACAAATTTATATTTAATGTCCTAATACAATAATGGCTTCGAAGGATTTCACCAGTTTTTTTTCTGAAACAATTGTCGAATATAAGTGAAGATAGGGAAAATATTTGCGTATCAGGAGGTTATTTAGACGGTATAGGGGGGTTATATTCATGTTATATCCCATGTAACCTCTCTGTAACATATCTCTAACCCACCTGTAACCTACAAATAAGTTCTGCGCTTCTGTAGTTCCGGTAGGTGTAGGTAGGTTACAGGGAGGTTACAAGGGGTATAACGTGGATGTAACCCTTGTGTACCCTCTGAATAACCTCCGACGTACGCAACACTGTACGTACATAAATATTTTCCTGAAGAAAGACGTCATATGTAAAAATTGAGTTTTAGCATCTTAATGTGTAAATATAAGAATATAGGGACACTTCTAAGTAAAAAACCCTAGAAATTAAAAATTGAGTTCAAATTTAGGTCTACACCACTTAAAAGAGACAAATTATTGCGTGTGCATGCAGTGTTCGATCCTGATCGTAGATCACGGTGATCTACGATCAAGATTATTTCTATTTTTTTTTTAATTTTTAGGTGAAGCTCACTAAATCGTAAATTAGTTCCGAATCAGACACCGCACGCATGCGCGAGCCCGTATGGAAAAGGAGATTCTCAGTCATTTCTTCCACGGACTTCGCAGTAGTTTTTCAACTTAGCATATGATTGTCGCACTCTTTCCCACCGGCCATGCCTTGTTAACGGTTAACTCTTTGATCTCTCTCACTACTCTCTCTCTAAAATGGTTTGTTTCCCTATCTTCCTCGTGCTCTGCACACTAATGGCGGAAATAGGAATTTGCTACTCCTCTGAGGTAGGTTTAATTTGCAACTCGTAGCAATTCAAATGACTGTTTTGAATCTTTCTTCATCCCAATGCGATAACGATTTAGTATTTTGTCAACTTTTTCTAGGTTTATATAGTGTATATGGGTAGTAAAAGATCGGTTGAGCCGAAAGAGATAACCAAGCAAAATCATCTACTGCTGGCTTCTGTTCATGATGGAAGGTTAAGTCCAGTTAAATCATTTACAGTGTTGTACAGGGAAGGAATTAGGAATTATTTCTTAATGATGAATAATGTGGTTTCCTATTCACTCTCTCAAACAGTTTGGAGAGAGCAAGGGCTTCTCATGTTTACAGTTACGTGCACAGTTTCAGAGGATTTGCGGCGAAGTTGAGTGAAAATCAGGCTTTTAAGATCGCCGGTAATTAGATTACAAGAATTTACTTTCGTTATGTATCTAGGTTTTCGGTTAATGATTATGTATGTTTGAAATTTTGGCGCATTTTTAGGAATGTCTGATGTTGTCTCGGTGTTTCGTAATGAGAAGAGGATGTTGCATACAACTCGTTCATGGGATTTTATCGGTGTTTCAACCGATGTGGACATGGAGATTCCAAGGTTTTCTACGAAGAATCAAGAGAATGTTATTATTGGTTTCATTGATACAGGTTTTTTCTCTCTCTTTTCTTGAATATTCATCACATTATCAACCTTTTGTGTGGGAATTTATTTCGATAGACTAAATTTCATTCATTCAAAGTTTTTTTTCTTGTTTGACTGTTTGTTAACTCCTAGATTGATGATTCAATGGAATTTAACATGTATATATATATATATATTATTT